CAGGGAGTGTTACTACCTGTGAAATATTTCCTGAGCGAGAGCATTAGGTTGACAATAGAGAAAAATTCGCCTTCATTTACAAAGAATTCCTTTTGTTATCTGCTTCCCCAGATTATCAATAAAGATACAGAGAAGCTTGGCTTGGGGTCTTCAGTCAGAGAACTGCTGGCCCTCTGTTTTATGCTCTCTGCTCTATCTCATTCTTGGCTGTTTGTTTCATTATTAATAATTATAAAATTATTCCATTCCTTGGGACCCTTGGTCTGCAACACCTATTGCCAAAGTGGCCCTTTAGAGTAGTGAGAGAAGATTTTCACCCTGAAACCCACAGCGTCCCTTTTCAGCAGGAAGTAGCTAAGAGAATATGCCGTCCCCTTTTCCTTATGAATCAGGGTGAAATCTCTCTCAGGGAGGAGTGATAGGGAATGGCAAAGGACACACTGACAAAGGAGATTAATCAGAACTGGCTTTGACAAACACTGTGGCAAGGGGACAATTAAAACAAACTTTCAAGGAATATTCAACCTGAACCCTTCTGATCATATGGAGATTTTTTAAAGTGTTTCTTTGAGTTTATTATTTTTAATTTGTTTTATTTGTTTGTATATAAAGGATGCTCATCTAGATGATAACATATTATGATAAAAACAAAAGGGGGGAGATATGGGAAGCCAATACTAAATATTTGTAATAAACTGAATGCTATTTAAAAAAAACCAAAACAAAAAAAAATAATAACCAGTTGGAAACAATACGTCTATCAATGGAAAAATGGATACACCCCTGGTACATTTACATAATGGGACGCTTATAAATATTGAAAAACAATGAGGAATTTGTGAAGCACTGTATAACGTGGATGAATCTGGAGGACGACATTAAACTGAGTGAAATGCTGTTACATGCTGTCGAGTTGGAATGACTCATAGTGGACCCTCCAGCAGGTTTTTAGGAAATTGCACAGGAGGAGACTGCCATCTTTCATCTGCGGATCAGCTGGTGGATTTGAACCATGAGCCTTTGGGTTGGCAATACAATTACAAGAGGACAAATACTGTATGAGACGGGTATTATGAAAAGCTAGAGAAAGGTTTACACACAGATATAATCCCTCTATTATGGTTACCTGACAGAGGAGAAAGGAAAATAGAAAATCAGAAATAATCACTTATTAAGAACTTTGCTGGCTTGGTGAGCAAGGAGCTATGCTGCTAACACAAAGGTACTTGGTTCAAATCCACCAACTGCCTGTAGGAGAAAGGAGAGAAATCTGCCCCCAAGTGATTTACAGGCTTTGAAAACTTGCTGTAGGATCAGCTCTGAGATGGTTCCCTGCACACATAACAAGATGGGGGAAAGGAAATACAATATGTAAATGAATAGATGATCGGACATTGTAAAACGGATTAAAAAAAAAAAAAAGAATAAAACAGAAAAAGAATTCTCCATCAAAAGCCAAAAGGATGGACAGAGTACCAGACTGCTGTGCAATGCTGCCATCTAGCGGTCAGTACGTTGCCACACAGTCTGGCGTGAACTGTAGGTTAATTCAAGGGTAATTCAAGGAGTTCCAGAAAGGTCCCTTCTTCCTGTCAGAAGCTTCTAATTGAGTCCTTCTTTTCCTCATCTGTCACTGCCATCATTATAATTGCTAACTTTTAAGTTGTGAGGCTGCCCTGTGAGAATTACTGAGACTTGTGAAATCAGCAAGGTATTATTAACCTTTTCTCCTTTACCATCCTTTTTTCACATCTCAGTGTCAGACTAGGTAGTTACGATTGAAATCGAGTTTTGTGGAGTCATGTAAACTAAACAAGGTCTATCTGCTGGTGTTAAATTGAAAATAATCTTCGAAAAGTTAGGCAAACCATCTGTATCTGTTTCCTAAACAACTTTAGTCAATAACGTGTGGGGTTTGTCCCCATGTTTTAAAAACTGATTTTACATTGGTAGGACTACTAAATTAGGACTTTACAAACATGAGTATAAAAAAATGTGTTCCACAGGACACTGGACTAATACACTTAATACTTATACATACGGAATTGAAATAGTTTTGAATTTCAGTAAGTGAGTGGATCCTTTACCAGTTCAGGAGCATGATGACTGGGCTTCTGTACGGCATGTGCCACTCTTGTTACAACATGGGTGCGTTACCCGTCTAACACGAGCTTGAGCAAAACAAAGCAACCAATTTCAATGAGTGAAAGCAAATTATGAACTGCCATAAAGTAAGCTAAGGATCATTTCTCTGAGTACATGCTATGGTTTCTATGCTGTTTAGACTTTTGGAACCGAATTACAGTAAGAGAAGGAAGACTCAAATATTTTGTACTAAAAGGGGAGCTGGAAAGATTTCTGCTTTATTAAAGGTAGAAAATATGAGATCGGGAAAACCAAGATAGTCTTTTCAAGTCCTGGATCCCATAGGTTTCCCTGTGTATCTCACAATTAAAAAGAGACTACAATCAGAAAATATATTCAAATGAATCAGCTGATGTATTGAAATGCACTGATGTATCTGAAATCAGCGCACAGATCTGGAAGTAAGGGAGCACTGATGGCTTAGTGGTAAGGAGCCGTGCTGTCAGCTCAAAGGCACCAAGTTCAAATCCACCAGCTGCTCTAGAGGAAGCTGGGGAATCTCCTCCCCTGTGATGGACAGCCTCTGAAAACCCACCAGAGGGTCAGCTACGAGTCAGCTTCCACACAGCTGCACGCATGTCGGCAACACTTGAAAGTAATGGAACAGTCCTGAAGCGAGATAGAACCCAATTAACTTCCAGCCCAACTTTCCCCAAGATAAGGAGGAAATATAGCTATTAGGCTTGCTTGGAATAAGGACTGTGTTGTTGTTGTTGACTGCTTTCAAGTCAGCATGACTCACAGTGACCCTGGGAACAAAAGGCCTGAAGCCCCTATACAACTATCGACATTTATCAAAGGTCATAGAGTTTCCGGAGGCATGTTGTTTAGGAAGTGGATGCCACTCCTGCTTCCAGTTGGAATAAGGATACAATCAACAATTTGTATTTTGTTGCTGTTGTTGTTGTTGTGTACCATTGAATCAGACCCGACTGGCACAGGAGGAGAATGTCCCTCCTCCTTCAGCGGAGCATCTGGTGGATTCGAACTGTGCGCCTTCGGGACTGTAGCACAGCTTCTTGCCTCTAGGCCACCTGAGCTCCCTATGATCAACAATCTGAAGCTGTTTAACGTGGATTCTTAGCTCGAGTGAAATAATAAAACGAGTGTGAGAAATGAGAACCAGGTTTCCCCTGCTGGAGGAGAGAGCTGTCAGTACAGAAAGGTGGCGAGTCCCAGGACTACCACAGCGGGGACTGGATTTGCAAGGGTCTGTATGGACCCAGCATTTTCAATATTGATCGCTCCAGAAACAGCTAGATGTCTGTGCATGCATTCCACACCTCTGTCCATGGAAGGGGCTAGGAGCAACAAAGCAACCGGTGTGTTCCTGGTCAGATCTCAGTGTCTCAAGACTATTCTCCAGTCAAAGGAACCAGCTATCTTTGAATAAACGGATAGCTGCAGGGTTGAGTCTTGGGAAATACGAGATGATTCAAGACTATCTTGAGCCAGAGAGCAAGGTCACATTCGGGGAATGATGGGGCATGGGAAAACTGCTCCCCCTGGGATAATCTGGGATAACTCGAGGATGGGCATAGTGATAGTAACAGATTATAATCCATGGAGGGGAGGAAGGGAGGAAGACTCCATGAATCCATACAGGTAAACATTTTTTAAAAGTAAAGAAAACCTTAATTGAGGGGCTAAAGGAAAGATCTTTGTTAGACTCAACCTCTCTTTTGCCATTGGGCCAGACCTTCAGACCTGCCTCCTAGCTGACCTTCAGGGAGTTTCTTGAGCTGCAAATCCCACGGCAGGGATTTCCCTGCGGACTTTTCCCTGTGGTGTGACTGTTGGATCTGAACTGTCTGAGAGCTGCCACCTTCCCCTTTGTGACACTAGAGTACTAATAAACGTAAAGACATGATCGATTAAAAAAATTATTGCCATTACCTCTGAACCTGACCCCCCAGGGGGTTCCAGAGACTGTAAAAGGCACAGAAGGAGACTGCCTATCTTTCTCCCTCCGAGATCGGAACCACCTTTCTCTGGGCTGGAAATGCAGCTCCTCACCGCACCTCCCTAGAAATGAAGATGCAAGGGAGCTCTGGTGGCCTAGTGGCAAGAAGCTGCACTGCAATCACAGAGGTGTGCAGTTTGAATCCACCAGATGCTCTGCTGGAGAAGAAAGGACAATCTCCTCCTGTACCAGTCAGATCGGATTTGATGGTACATACACTGATGATGATGATGATGATGATGATGGCATTCAAAAACTAACTAGTAGCCACCACCTCTGCAATAACCCCTTTTGCCAAGACTGATAAATGGATGCAGAGCCAGAATGTGCAGGGCCAACCAAGAACAGGCTATTTGCATAGTCTCAGTGTCCTCTCTACAGAGGACAATCCAAAGTCACAACAGGGAAATTAAGACATGTCCAACAGAGAAGCCATGGAGTCAGCAGTCAATGGATGGCCACATCCAGCGTATAATGCACTGCAGCCACAAACCAAGATCTGCCAGCTCGAGTCTGCCTTCAGTTCATCAGGGTTACTTCACGTTAAGTAGCGGGGAGCAGGTCAGCCTGAAGCCCTCAGCGGACACCCAGAACAGTCACACAGCAGATGCAGAGCGCGCCCACCCATCCCATCAGCACGGGGCACAGTGGCCGCCCGTCCCATCAGCACAGGGCAGCCCAGCAACCCCGCGTGGCTCCCACACTCACCATTCCTCTATGACCTGGATGCTCTCCATCTTGGTGGTTTGCGTCGGTCGTCCAGCACTATCCCCTCTTTCTTCATTCCTAACAGTGAGGCTGTAATGTAGCATAACACTTTATTTTGTCTAGAGAAGGTTAACTGCTTTCCAGAGAAAAGAACAAATTCAAGCACAACTTCTGCAGGCATAATATGTCACAATAAAAAACATGTCCGGTACCAAAGGACTAATACCATTTTTAAATGATCAGTAAGCTCGAGGCAAAGAAAGGAAAGGGAAAAGATATTTAACAATCCAGAATCGCAAACCAAAATGAAACAAAAATTAGTATCATTATCCACTTTGACTCTATCCTTAGATGATTTAAGTAAGTAAAAATTCCAGACACACTTACATGTGAATGCCCATTCATATTTGATATACCCATCATGTTACTCTTTAAATGGAAAGTCATTTTGCCTTTTGATTAATTCTATTCCCAGTTTATTGTCCATTTGTTTCCCCCATTGGTAGCTCAGAAAAGAAAATGTATCAGAATCAAATGTAGATTTGCTCGACTGACATCACCCTTCCCTGAAAACCATGTTTTCTGTTAGCATTACCTTCATTCCTTCAGCCACTCAGGTTCAAAGTACTGAATTGATATTTATTATTGTTTTTGCCCTTTCATTCCATTCATCTGCTCTCTAAATTTGCTGGATTCCTATCTGACAAATCCTGGGAGACTTACCTGACCTCTCAGGGGACCAGACCACTGGATGGGGAATCTCTTTGGAACACAGATTTGGAAATTGTACAGGATGAGGGGAGCTGGGCGAATCGTGAGCTTCAACGACCCAGACCAAGAAACAGCATGGCATGATTCAGCTAAGTGACAGCTGACCTGTGCTTTAAGGTGGGACAGCCAAGGTTCAGGTTGTAGGTGACGAAGCCTGACAAGGGTTATGAGGTGATACTAAGAAGGCTGCTCATGAAGATGGTTCAGTGAACCTGGAAAACTCGGCTTTTTAGACAGCAAGTGAATATCGCAGTCAAGAAGCTAGGGAACACCATGTGCAAAATTCTCTGACCTATCCAGTCCCTTCTCTCTCTCTCTTTCTCTCTGTGTGTGTCTCTCTCTCCCTTGCCCCTCTCTCTTTCTCTCCTTCCCCCCTTCCTCTCTCTTTTCTTCCCCCCCACTCTCCCCTTTCTCCCCACCCTCTTTCTCCCCCCTTCCTCTCTTTCTCCCTCCCTCTCCACTTCCTTCCTTCTTCCTTGTCCCCTCCTCTCTCCCTCCCTCTTTCTCTCTTTGTCAAGAGAGCCAGAGAGCCCCAATAAAAGCTTTTTGCTTACACAAAAAGAAAAAGGAAAAGAAAAAGAAAAAAGAAGCCAGGGAACTTCAGAGAGCATGTTAGGAACAAAGAGAAGTTCAGACAAAACCTCTGTCATTTGATCTTGGGCCATCCATTCACTTATTCATTTTATGAGAGGTGATAAAAAAAAAATTTAAAAAAGGCAATGGAGACTAGTATTTTTTAGTTATCTGCTGTGGGCTGTTTGCTATCAATGCCATTTTTCTTTACCTTCAATTTTAATAACCTATTTACTGACAATGCCTCATTACTCCGTTCTTACATGGACTGCCAAAAGAAAAAAGCTGTTTTGGGAGAAGTACAGGCAGAGTGCTTCTCAGAGGTCAAGACTTGGTCTCACATGTCTTCTGCATGTTATTGGGAGGGGCCAGTTCTTGGAGGGGGACATGGTGCTTGGAAAAGAGGCAGACCCTCACCACGATGGACGGGCATGGTGACTGCAGCAGCAGTGGACTTAAGAAGAGTGCAGCCTGTGAGAGCGGCATACGATGAGGCAAGGTTTCCATATAGTATACCTAGGGCTCCAGGAGTTTGCTTGGCTCCACAATCAACACCCTTGGCACCAGCAGCTAGGAAATTAAAAGATGTATTGGGATGGGAAAGTCTGCCATTAGAGACTTCTATAAAGTACTGAAGAACAATGATGTCAGTCTGGAGACAAAGGTGTGCCTAATACAGGCCATGATCTTTGCAATCACTTGCTATGCATCAGAGAGCTGGACAATGACTAGGGATGACAGAAGAAGAAGTGATGCCTTTGAGCTGTGGTGCTGGAGAAGAGTATTGACTGCTAAGAGAACAAACAGGTTTGCCCTGGAGAGGGTGAAGCCAGGCTGGTCCTTGGAGGCAAGGCTTTTGAAGCTTTGTCTGATATACTCTGGACATGATACAAGGAGGGACCAGTGTTTGGAAAGGGACATCATGCTTGGGAGTGTGGAGGGACAGCGCAGGAGAGGAAGACCCTCAATGAGATGGATTGATTCAGTGACTGCAGTAATGGAGGTAGGTGTGTCAGAGAAAATATGATTGGCACAAGACAGAGCAGGGTTTAGGGCTGTTGTACATAGGGTCACTATGAGTCGCAAGTGACTCACCAGCACAGAGCAACAACAATGACAGCAACAACAAGGCACCTCTGCCAGACTAGTGGTAAGAAGCTGCACTGCTTGGGATTTGAATCCACCACCTGCTTGGAGAGAGGACAGGGCACTCTCCTCCCATGTGATTTACAAAACGCTGTAAGGCCTAACTGTGTGGGATCCCTTAACTCAGGCAACAAGGAGGTCCTAGGCCCCTCGACGGAGAAGAGAAGCCACTTACAGAAGGGAACAACAGGCTTCCTCCTTGCTCATTCAGGTAATTTGGGGGAAAAAACTGTTAGGTGCTTCACAAAACATTGCTGTACCCTCGATAATTTTATAGTTCTAACAACCTCATATATAATAAGAAAAGACTCCCATAATAATAAGAAAGCAGAAATCCACATCAAATATTATGAAGAAAAAAAAAAGAAACCTTCTCTTACAAAAAGCAGACCCAATTAATAGATCAGATAGAGAGAATCAGAATATGTTGATATAGAGTTACTTGATCAGCTACAGAAAAAGATGCAAATGTGGGAAAAAACAATGGAAGTCAATAAGAGAGCAAATACTTCAGAGACAATAATCTAGAAGAAATAAATAGATGAGGAGAAACTTGAACGGTTATTGATGAAAATGCAACAGATGGAAGAAAAAAATTGATAGAATAGACAAGAGGTACAAGAAATTTAAAAAAAAATCATCACAAGAGCTAGAGGGTACAGCCAACACAGTACTAGAATTCACAGAAAAGCATGAAAATGCAATCCAGAATATTAAGACTGAAATGGAAGTAGTGTCCAACATGCTGGTAGGACAAAAAAAAAGCAGAACTGAAGAAATGGTACAGAAAGTCAGTGAGCTGGACAACAAAACCTCACTAGAAATCTACGTGAAGAAAAAACAGAGATGAGATGAAAAGAAAATGAAGAAAACATTAGAATTGTGGGATGAAATAAAATGGAATAATATATGTATGATTGGGATTCCAGAACATGGGAGGGGCAGGGAAATCACTGAGAAGATTGTGGAAGAAGTACTAGAAGAAAACTTCCCAGGTATTTTGAAGAATGGGGAAACTCACATCCAAGAAGCACAGAGAACACCAAATAGACTAGACTAAAAAAGAAAAACACCAAGACATATCATAGTCAAATTCTCCAAATTAAAAGATAAGAATAGAATTCTAAAAGCAGCACGAGAAAAGCAAAGGGGAAACAATTAGATTAAGTTCTGATTCCTTAGCAGAAACGATGCAAACTAGAAGTCAACGGGATGCCATAAACAGAAAGTTGAAAGATAACAATTGACAGCCAAGGATCCTATATCCAGAAAGGCTCTCTATCAAATTTGAAGGGGAAATTAGATTCTTTGCAGACAAGAGGGACCTGAAGGAATTTGTGAAAACAAGAACAAAACTGCAAGAAATTTTAAGTGAAGTCCTTCACGCAGAGATGCCAAAGGAAACTAGATGCACCATAGTAACCAAAAACAACAGAAAAAGAAGAACAACAAAATGTCAATGGTAAAACCTGGTCTGACAATAATCACACTTAATGTGAATGGATCAAAAGCACCAATTAAGAGAAAAAGAGTATCAGAATGAATTGAAAAAACAAAGCCCATCAATATGTTGCCTACAAGAGACATAACTGTAAAAAGAAGGGAAACATATATTCAAAATCAAAGGCTGGAATAAAAATCATACCAAGCAAATATTCAACCTTTTTTGAGAAGTGATAACACTAATCTCTGATAAAACAGGCTTCAGAATGAAAATCACCATAAAAGATAAGGAAGGGCATTACATACTGATTTAAAGGCACAACGAATCAAGATGACATAACCTTGGTCAACATTTATGCATCAGATGACAGACATGCAAAATACATAATACAATGGTTAACAGAATTGAAGAATGAAATAGACAGCAACACAATAGTGGTAGGAGATTTCAGTACACCACTATCACCAAAGGCTAGGTCAACTCAAAAGAAACTCAGCTAAGATGCAGAAGATCGAAACTAGACAATCAGACAACTCAACCTTTTGGATGTATTCAGAGAACTGCATCCAACCAAAACTCAATTAACTTTCTTCTCAAGTGCACATGGTACATTCTCCAGAGTTGAACATATATTAGGTCACAAAGCAAGCCTCAACAAATTAAAAAACATTGAAATAACATAAAGAAAGTATTTTCTCAGACCACAATGTCATAAAATTAGAACTTAACCACAGAAGAGTAAAGCCTATAAAACCATGCATGTGGAAATTAAATAACTCTCTACTAGAACATGA